GAAGGAGAAGGAGCTGGAGAAACTCAGGCAAGAAGCAGAGAGATACAGGAAACGTGTGGAAATCTTCTGTGTGGACCTCTCTACTGGGAGGAGAAGTAAGTGTGTGGGAGAGTGATGGAGGACTCCTCTACTGGGAGGAGAAGTAACTGTGTGGGTATTGAGAAGTTTGGAGGGTGAAATCTCAGCAGAGAGGAGTGAGAAAACCTGCTTCTTGGACAAAGCTGGGTTTCATTTTAGTCTTGATCTGTATTGACACTGAGCACATGGGTCTTTAGTAGACCTGGGAGCAGGGAGAGGTCCTATAGGAATATTTGGAGAAGAATGAGTGTTGCTTTAGATTTAGTCTGTGATCAACGCTGAGTAAATAAGTAGTGCATTCAAATGTCTTTGAAGTGTTTGCCATTCAGAATGCTGTCTTGTGAGGAAGGGACCTGTCCTCCACAGTACTGAGAAAGTCCTGCTGTGTATGTCACTAGTGCGGAACTCTCTCCGAGATGGACTGGGGCCTCCTGACTCCCTGTCTCTGCAGGAGCTGGAACTGTTGGCAATAGAAGTAATTGAGGAAGACAGACAGACTCTTAATCATGAGGATGAGAGCCTCAGGTTCATGATCAGTTACAATTATGCAAAGACTTGCTATTGACCCATCTGTAAGTTCGAGTCTCAGTGTTGCAGAAGTACAAGAGAGACATGATGCAGGTCTGGGACAAGTGGGTGATCTTTTGGTGGGCACCCAGCAAACACCCCAGACAAGCCATAAGTTTCAAACTGTGCAATTAATTTACACAACCACCGTTGAAACCAAAATAATTAACTAAATAGAAGCTTACCTCCTTCCTGAGCTCCTGCATAAATGTCTTGAGTCTTACTAGCCAGCCAGGCAACCAGCTGCTTAACAGCTTCAACATAAACAAAGCTTTGGAGCCACATGGACTCTCAAAAGTCAAGCACTCCATTTCTTCTGGGTTCTTGATTTCCAGGTCAGTGGTGAACCCATTGGCCTTCTCGTACAGAACGTCACTCACTCAATTGGCTGACTGAACTTACCGACTCACCCCGACTGAGGGCAGCAGCAACACATTCATCAAAGGCTTCTGGGGAAGATGGTCCAGACACGGCGGCCATTTTGCCTAGACCAGCTGTGCCCTCACAGGAAACAGTACATTAACTCAGCAATTCAACTGAATGAAATGCATAAAAAATGAGAGAGAGTCTTTTAAAAGGTGTGTCTTGATGACACCATGGTGCTCAGTCAGTATTAATCCAGGTGATTCCTGTGTGTCTGTCTGTACAGAGGAGAGTCCTGAGGAATCCCTGAGGCTCAGTCAGTATTAATCCAGGTGTTTCCTGTGTGTCTGTCTGTCCAGAGCAGCAGTGCTGTCCAGAGGGATGGAAGGGGGGAGACAGTGGAAGATGTTACTACATCTCTACAGACCAGAGATCCTGGGAGTTTGCCAGTCATTTCTGTTCATCAGTGGGAGCTCAACTGCTGGAGACTGAGGACAAGAGGGAGCTGGTGAGAACATGAAATCTGCTGCAGCCACACTGAGTGAGAGAGGCTTCACTGAAAAGCCATTTGAAAAATACAAATACTTCAGTATTACAAATTCAATTTTTAATTTCTCCAGAAAACATCTATCCCTCCATCTATCAGTGTTACTCAGGAACATCATCTACTGTACATTTTTCATAAGGAAGTGAATATTTAAAATGGACATTGATCATTAGTAAATGAGATTTCAGCTCTGGGACAATACCATTGTTTTACAGATCACAGACAATGCTGCCCAACACTAGGCAAAGTGAAATCTTGTATTTGTGTTCCAACTAGATCTCTCTATTATAAAACTCTCAGCAGGGTAGTTTTGCTACTAACAGTCAACTTCTTCCTTATACTTTCACATAGTAGACATCTCAGAAGAAACACTACCCAGTTCACACCAGAAACTCCTGTTCTGTCAACTTCTCTTTCTAACAGTTGTGGGAATGGGGAACAAACTACTCAGCCATGTTGTTGAAATCTTGACTTTTTCAGGAACTTGCTAAGTGAGATTAAGTCAATTAACCATTAGAAAAACAAAACCATGAATTCTGCTTGTTCTCGGGTCAGGAAAATCAGATGTCCACCCTCCCGGTTGATAGGTGACCTAAAGCCCCGATAATGTGATTGCTGTGCGATCTGACCTGCTTTGTGTGTTTTTACAGAATTTCTTGGGAAGTCTTTTAGAAGGCTATTTTTACTGGATTGGCTTGAGAAAGGACAGCAGCTCTGAGTGGAGATGGGTCAATGGAACAGAACTCAACAAAGATCTGTAAGTGTATTGTGTTATGTGTTTGTTGTGTCCAGTAAACACTGCATTGTAGAAATTTCAAAATTGAAAAGCTAAGAAAACAAAATGAACACAAAGCACACTGACTTGGACTGGTTTGTGTAATTACCTTGAACTGTAGTGATATGGAGACACTTCCCAGCAAGCTGTGGGGAATGACCTGCCATCTTCAGTCACATGACCAATTGCTGTAAGACATTGGGTCAGGTGCCAGTTTAAAGCTCAGGAAGCTGAAGCTTCCAGTGCTGGTCATTATCTGCTGTCTGGAAACATGGAGAGCAGATCCTCTGATACGCAAATGACTCCAGAGGGAGAGATGGGGAAGACGGAGTGAATGTTGGGACTTTTTGTAAGTCAAGGAATTGAGACTGTTTTAGAACTGATGAGCTGTAGCTGCCTGTCTTAGGGAGGAAGCTCGCAAAGATGTCTAGTTGTCTAGCAAATATCTTCATGGAGACAGCTGAGGGAGATGAAGAGAGAGATAGAGGTTGTGTGATCAGGGAGTCTAATCTGCTTCTCTCTCATAGGATTACAGTTAAAACAGGATACTCTGATGGGGACTGTGCCTGTGGATACTGGAGTGGGGATGTCTTCACTGCGTATTCCCGGAAATGTGAAGAGACATTCTCCTGGATCTGTGTGGGGGATCCTGTGTGAGTGTGGCAGCCCCCAGACCCCTCTCCTGCCTTGAGGGGGAGTACAAATCTCACAGAGAGGAAAGACATGTTAGAGAGAGACCGTGCGTCTGCTGGGACTCCTCTGCTGAGTCCTGGACACGATCATAGTCTCTTCACTCTTCATTGTTCCTCACTGAGAAGCAGAGTTATTAAACAAATAGCAAACAGTTTCACGTTTTAAGAAGGTTTGGGGTATTTGGGGATTTTTTAACAATTATGTGTCCTGTCCTTAAATTTCAGCCTGTAGCACAAAATTAACAGAGTTTCAGTTTTTGTTTTTTTCTACCAATTCTGTATTTGATCATGTTTTCTGTTTTACACAATAAAACCAGTGGGAAGATGTCTGGGCTGTTTCTTGAGTCACTGTATGTCTGGTATCTCCTCTAGACTCTGCTCATTCCTCTGACTGTGTCCCAGTTTCTCTCAGCAATTGAGTCACTGGCTTGTCTGCTCTTACTGGGAAGAACCTGCAACTATGTAGGAAATGTTAAATCTTATTTAAAACCTTACTTTGTCACACGTGCTCTTCTTTCTGCTGACTTACGTTTTTCAAGATATATCCTGACCATCTGTTTGAATCTACATTTAATATGTTTACTGTAAAGCACTTTGTGATGTTTTACAGTGTATGAAATGAGAATTTGGACAAAACGTGAGGAAAACCAGTTTTAATGTATAAATGTCGTTTGGCGGTCTTCGGGTAGGGAAATTGACAGAGTTGTATTCAGCTGCCTGTACTGTCAGTTTCAGATAAAAGACGCTGTTTAGCAGTTTGGACAGAGTAGAGCTCTTCAGTCCTGTCCAGTGTTTCAGGTAACTGTGTGAAATGAACATTTCAGGAGAAAGGGCACATTTTGGTTTCATTGCAAAATCCACACATGTTATTGAAATATATTATGCATAAGCTATGTGGGCTGGTAATTAAAATACTGATCCCAACTGGAATGCTGTCCTCATGAGAGGGCTGCAGGATGTCTGTTCACTGTTCCCACATGGAGCTCGGGGATACTTGTCTTGCTGTGGGATTGTAGCAGGAGGATTCTCCTGGCTCAGTCTTGGACTGTGTCTGCTGGACATGACAGGATCTGATGGGAATATTCCCAGACAGACTAGGGGACAATGAAACAGTTTAT